TTGGCCCTTGTGTTCCTCATATTTATAATCCTGTGAAACAGGAAGTCATGGCTGGACTATTTCAGTCACCCTGGTGTGCTAAAAAAATGTAAATATGAATGGGAATATTCTTTAGAGATATTTTACTCATAAGAATTTCTAGGGGTGCCAATAATTGTGGCCAACATGCATTGGAGAAAAACATTTATTTCATCATGAGATTTTCTCCCCACTTTCAATTGTTTTACTTCAATGATAGGTTAGAATTTTGTACGCCATTGCTCATATTTAACAAAGGTGCCAATATTAGTGGAGGGCACTGTAAGTCATTTACCTTGTTTTGTCACAGGCTCTGCATTTATGTCAGTTCTTTGAGAGCGAGTCTCTGGATCTCAGTGGGACGCGGATCATAGAGTTGGGTGGAGGAACAGGACTGGTTGGCATAGTGGCTGCACGATTAGGTAAAGCTTTGATTTATGTTTGTGCAATTCTCAAAATTCATCTCAACATGAACATAAGGAGAGCTGAAAATCTCTCACTCAACCAATCTTTCACTGCTGTCAAAATGAGTGTAATGCAATCTTCGTATGTCTTTTAGGAGCCCATGTGACCATCACAGACTTACCTTCTGCTGTTTCTCAGATAGAGAGGAACATTGCGGCGAACACGCCTCTCTCAGGATGGCCCTCAGACGGCCCCGCTGTGTCAGCGCTGGCGTGGGGCCTGGACCACAGCCGATTCTCCTCCAGCTGGGACTTTGTGCTGGGCGCCGATATCGTCTATCTGCCTGAAACCTTCCCTCTTCTCTTGGACACACTGGTTCATCTGTGCCGGGACGGGGCTGTTGTCTACCTGGCGTCAACGATGCGCAGAGAACACGGTGCTCAAGACTTCTACGACCGCATGTTACCGCAAATGTTCAGCGTGGAGCTCGTGCAAAGAGATCCTGAGAACAATATCAATATTTATAAAGCCACTTTAAGATGAGCCGTCCATCCATCCATCCTTCAAACCGCATGTCTTGTGTAGCGTATCAGAGTCTATTTTTACATCTGGAGCTGGGAGGTTTGAATATGTACTATATGCATAAACGTATTTATAAATACCAGTTATGTGGCAAATTGTACACTTCAGTGAAATTGTTGTTTTCCATTAAATTTTTATAATGAAATGTTAATTGTAACTAACTGACAGTATTGGGGAGTAACAGAATACATATAATGCCATTATGTATTTATAATACAAAATATTCCTTTATAGTTGCAATTTTAATCATTTGTAATCCCATTACCGTTACATTAAACATGTAGATTACTTAACAGATTACCATAAATGTAATTGCCAGTTTACTCTGTGAAATGAATCCATTGATGTCTGAGAAGTGTTTTAGTGAAATTCTCGCTTATAATGTACATTACTGTCATGTAGCATGCAGTGGCAGAGATAAGAATTGAAGCCTAGTAAAAACATTATGAAAAAAAAAAAAGTTTTCAACTTGTAAAGAGGAGTTTGTGAAACTGAAGGGACTGGATGAGCTGGATCAAGTGTGTTTAATTAGGGTTGAAGCTAAACTCTGGCTCTCCAGGAACCGAGTTTTGCACCCCTGGTCTAGCACTACTCACATTTCCTTCAGAAAATGTAAAAATAATTTGATATAGTTGATCGATATTGATATATTGTTTGAAATTAGTCGTTTTAATATTTCAGTAAGTTTTAGAGGTTGTTATTCTTCAAACACTCATGAATATACAGTACGGTATAATTATAATGCTAGTTTTTAGATATGGGTAAGATACAGCAGCTATAAATATTAAACTGCTAATACAGTAAAATCAGGCATATTTTATCTAGTCTTTTAACAGGGTTGTTTAAGTAAAGGTATTGTTAGTGATCCACAAGCCCCAGTGTGACTCCTGTTAGTTACATTAATGCTGTCAAAAGGCATTTTAAAATAGTACCTTAAAAGTCAACTTTCCATTCAGAAATGCAAAAAAAACTGAGCATAAATTTTATTGTCCCTTGTGTGTGGCATTGTAATGCGTAATTGGAAAATGCAGAAATTATGAGAACTGAAGGTTTACAACAGGTTTAATCACAAAGTAGGATCGAATGAGAATGTAAAATATCAAACGATCCCAGTGCAACTGACCCTCCTGCACAGTAGGTCACAAATAGGCACAGGTCTTGTTGTTTCTGTAATTTAATACCCACAACGTTTGAACTTCAGAAGCTGACACTGCACTACAACAACACTTTTCTAATACACTTCAGTCTGTCATTCCATACCATTTGGCCTCATTGTGTTTGTGAGTAGACAGCTGAAGTTTAACATCTAATACAAGAAAAACCTTATTTTGAAGTAAAAGATCCAAAAGGCATTATTGAGAACCTTTAATGTTCTAGACCTATTGCTATTGTAAAAATCACACTATAAGGGAAATATATTATAGGGACTATTTAAAAAAGCAAATCTCTGTATCTGTGAGTGCTACAGATAAATAGCAAGTGATTTATTATCCATGTTTTATCATTCATTCATTCATTCATTTATTGATTGTACAGGTCCAGTTTTTATTATTTGACAAATCCAGCCTCAGGTGACAGGCATAACCAATTTCTCGTAATTTTTAAAAAAATATTTATGCAACAAAAATTATGCAGATCATGCAGAAAATCATGTGGAAATTAAGTACACCCTTCTTGCATGTTATTAAATTTTTTTCAAACAAAGAGACATCAGAATTAACCATTGCATGTCTCACACACAGCAGGTGATGCTCCATTCCTGAATGAATCACCATTGTTGAACTAATTGATTGAATGAAAGATTCAATGACTCACTCATTAAGACAGTCACTTGTTGCTACCTACTGTACTGGCATAACAATGTAAAGTGCAGAAAGCGTCACTGTAAAATCCCTACTACTAATACACAGACTGACTGTGTGGGTTCACTGGGGTTGTTGCTATTTCACTACACCCTATGCTCTAATGCAATGATAGTATACACAGTGTTTTCTGGCACGGGAATAGAAACATCATTTGGTTTTTGTTCAGTTCTCTAAAGTATTATCCTCCAATTCTCCTCCTTCTTCTGTGTTCAGTCTCTGATAAAGCAAGTCAGTGTCTGCACTTTCAGTTTGTTCCCCAAACTCAACCGTCTCCTCGTCCTCTGTCTCAGAGTCAGGAGCAGTGTGTTTGCGTATACGACTTACCACGTCCCACAGAGACTTGGCATGTTGTATTTTTTGTTCACAGGGCAATGAAGTACAGAGTAAAACATCAGAAGGAACATTTCTTGTCTGTGGGAGAGATGAATTTTCAGAAGCTTCTGGAACTGGAGTAGAAGAAGGAGCGGGGAGTGAGGATGTACAGCTTGACTGAACACTGGGAGAACCGGAGCACTGGGTGGTTTCTGTGTTAGTTAAAGATGGAAGCAACAGTGGCTCATTCTCTGTGAGAAACCACAGGAGAAGCTGATACATTTGATACATCCAAGGTGTTGGAAGCAGAGGTAAATGACAAATGAGGTGAAGAGCTTGACCTTCTGAGAGTCCTGGAACCCACAGGTGAAGGTAAAACAACTTTGATGCAATTTTCTGCACTTTTCCTAAGGACAGGTGTAAAGAAATCTGAAGCAAGTACTCGCTTATCATCTGAGAGGTTGTCTTCTGTTGAACTATCCTCGGTAAGGTCCTTACTAGTATCTGTTTGATGGTTCTCATTATCTTTCTGTGTACTGTGCTTAACCACACTGTCGTCCAATGCAGGTCTATGTCCTTGTTCTGTGGATTGATTCATATGTATGGTGATTTCAGATGTGGATTTTGCATTTGTGAAAGCCACAAAGTCTTCGAGCACAGCTTCGGGTCCTTGTGCAGTGGTTTGTTCTTCCACTTCCATTATGTTGAGCATTTCTCCTACGCCTTCATTATTCTCCAGTGTTGTCCCACTCCAGGACTGTCCCACCATCAGTTTATTTTCCTGCGCTTGCCAGTCATCAACAGTTGCAGCTGCGGATGGAGATTCCTCAAACTCTTTTACTGGATCCACTATGTGACTCTCACAGGAGCTGTCATGTTCTTCTGAAATGCTCTCGTGTGTCTGTACGCTTGTCCTGGGATGCTCATGTGGTATTCCAAGAATCCTTTCTACTCTCTCGTCCAAAGTATTGTTTTCAGGAGTCTCCTGGCTTGAGACGACACTGCTGTGCTGCTTCTGCACCTCGGTCTCCTCTCTAGTACTTGGCGAAGGACTCTCCTCTGTCAAACACACATACTGGACATGCTCCTTCTCTGGAAGAAGTACAAGCTCAACCTTGACAACAACACAGGTTGCGTCAATGATCACAAGACTCTGCTGTTGGTCGTTTGTTGAGTTGTTGCTAACTTCAGGCTCATCGTTTATCCCCTGGCTTCTTTGCTCTGTCTTCCCTGTCGAGTGATGCTGATATTTTGGCTCTTTCCACAATGGGAATTTCTCTATGATTTCCCTGCATGGTTTCTCATGTCCTTCTGTCTGCATTGGTGACTTCTGGGCTAAACAGTTTGACTCTGAGTCATTCCCTTGGACATAACATTGCAACTCTTTTTTATTTTCATCTGGTTCTATTGCATTACCCAGATCCTGGATAGAACTGGATCTTTGATCTAGGGGTGTGTGCCCATACTCTTCAAACGTAACACTCCAAAGAGAAAGGAAAAAATGAAATCGCATCATATGACCCCTTTAATACAGAAAAAAATAACAATCTTGGAGATTTTTGCTGTCAAGAGCATATCCACCAATTATTGAATCAAAGAGTTCCTTTTCTACTCTTCAATGTAAATGACTGTCCAATGTGTTAAAAAAGACATAAAAACATATCCTTGTGTGTCATTGGTATAAAAAGACATTGGATGCGTCCGAAAGCTGAAAAATGCTGCCTACGGAGGATGCATTCCAAGGTAGGAAGGCATCATGGCACGTCAGCTTCCCTTCCTGTCTCATGACATACCTTCATCTGATGGATTTTTGAAGGCAGCATAGATGTATCCTTCTCTGCCTTTGATATCCCACAGTTCTGTGTTTTTCATTCTGTGATGTGTGGGCTAAAATATTAAAAGATGCCATCTGAAAGTTGCGTTTGGTGGTCAGTTTGTGTAAAAGTAAATGTTTCTGACCAACTCTTTGCACATTTGATGTTATTTCTAACAAGAAATCAGTTTCTTTCTTTCTTTTCAGAACAAGACAACAACAATAATACAAACGACAAAACATGAGCACATGATAATACAGTGAAAACATAACCGAGAGAAAGAAGAAAAAGAGGCATATACGTATGAGGAATAATGAATCATAATAAATATAAGCCCTCATTTATTGCTTGGTTGCAGGTGATCTTATGTCAGGATTTAAGGTTCCTTAAGTACTGGCAGGTAATGGCCCGTGATCTTAGCTGGACAGATCACCCGTTGAGTCCGGAGGAAACCAGACTGTGATGGACGAGGTGAGGATGCTGTCAGTGAACCTGGATAGCAGAGAAGAAATGTCTTTGGATGAGAAGTTAGTGGTCTTGGCTCTCCATTGTCGAAAAGAGAAAGAAAGAAAATTCCAGGATATTTATCTAACTTGCATATTATTAATTTCTTCTTTTTTTTCAGTTTTGTCTGTTTTTTTTTTTTTGGTGAATTAAATATATCTTAGAGTATATGTACACTATTTTGAAATCAAATGGAGTGTGGGTGAGTTGGGTGCTGATAATGGATCCAGAGACATCTCAGCATTCAGAGACATAGCTTTCTTTGGCAAGAGGTTCACACAGGAGAGTCAGTGATGCTCTGGAGAGTTGATTTTTACTCTCTACAGTCTGCAGATGTCAGTATGGAGACCCTTCAAGATAAAGCTGTATCTTTGACCAAGCTCCGCAAGAGGATCTACTCTAGAGAATCATATCACTCCAGGCTACAATGTCTATATTTTACTTGCAGGGGTAAGTACTTTTTTTTTTGCCATTAGTGCTCAGTGTTGGGGAAAGCTACTTTAAAAAGTAATGCATTACAATATTGCGCTACACCATTAAAAAGTAAATAATTACATTACTTAGTTACCTTTAATGTAATGTAAAGTAATGCGTTACATTACTTTTGCATTACTTTTTAAATCTGTGCTTGATTGTTTGTTTTTAATATATAAAGTTCTGTTTTTGGCAAATGTAAAAGCGCACAAAAAGAGACATGAATAAGCCTCAGGCTGAAGGAAATGTAAATTCACGTGTGTACAGTAGAACTCAGCAGAAAAAGTTCAACACTCTTCAGCAATAAAACAATTAAACCAAAATGTTATGTTTATCTAAAGCCATTTTTGCTTATTCGTATGGTTGAATTATGGATCATCGAAGGTCAGCAGCAAAGACAGTGATTAATAAAATGGCATTGAACACATAAAGGATATTTAATATTTAATTATAGCAGGTTTGCGTCAAGTTCTGAGTTCGCTTTTTTTTTGCTTTCATTTTGAGGAATACTGAATGTGTTTTTGTGCAGGTGAGATGAGTAAATGCATGTTCACATTTACAGTAACATCACGTTCACACATCACATCTGCACTTACTTTTACATTTACTCCCGATTTCTCTCAACATGGGGACAGGAGAGCTGTCAGTCAGTACATGGGAAACAAAGTAACTGGCGTTACTTATTTGAAAAATGTGGATTATAGAGGAGCAGGCAGGAGAGGACGGCTGGGTGTGAACATCCACAACTCTCTGCTGGACGGGACCCGCAACAATGAAGAACTTAAGCTGGGCAGGACGGTACTTTTAGATGCAGAAGAGGTTCGTGGGTGGGAAGCAGTACCACCTGGTCAGCTGGGACCTTATACTCTTCCTCCGGGACGAGGCTGCTGGCTCTGGCTCCGTCGTGGGCATTGGCTCAGGCTTGATGTTTGTGGTGGGCATAAGTTGAGTCTCTCGGTCTGCGGTGGACTCAGGCTCCTTATCTGCGGAGAGTGTGGACTCTGGGTCTGGCTCTGAAGTGGTAAAAAAGCATCCATCAATCCATACGGGGAAAATTGAAGTAATCCACAAGCAGGAATCCCACTGAGGTACAATCAGCTGAATCTCATCGTCGAGTGGCTACAGGTGACAGCTGATGCTGAAAAACTCCTCCACAAACTTCTTTTTCTCTTTTATCTATTTTTTCTTATATATATATATATATATATATATAAAACTTGACCCTCTAACACTTGCACTCTCTATTCTATTTTTATTCTCACAACTTATTTTCTTCTTATTTAAAGTGTCATGAAACCCGTGTTTCAGCACTGGTCGTTCACACCACAGATCTGAAACGAGTAAAACTGTGGGAGTGTAGAGGGTGGGAAGAGGCAAGAAAACAACCAATAAAACACAGACCTAACACACTCATTATACAGACAAATGAAAATATGTTTAAAACAGAAAGAATAAAGGCATAGTTATTTTTTGTTTAATTTTCGGTCTATATTTCATTGTTTGCTGTGTATCACAATAATCCGTCGTGTCATCGCGTTCATGATCATACGTAGCCTACTGCTGTATCAGTGCCCTTATTCGCACATATTTCATTTGAAGAAAACATACACGGTGCTGGTGTTGGAGCATGAGAGAATATGAAATATGTTCACATAAACTTGAAACACGCTTGCTCCGGTCCGGATATGAACTATGATCCGCGCAGCGAGTGTTGTTAAACTCAGCGCGGAAACCGATCTCTCATGCGCGCTCCACGTGTTGTCATATTAAATATTGTTACAGTCATGTTTACAGAAATGAACTGACAGCGCGTTAGCTCTTTCATGACATTTGAATTCTCCGCTGTACTACAACCTCTTGCATGATACAGAGCAGTGATTGGATCATAAGACTTTATTCTCATGAATAATACTTAGAAAAGCTGGGAAAACTGATGAGGTAGAGGCGTACTCTCCAGCCAATCAGCACTCCAAATTAACGCATATACGTCACTTTTCGTGAAGTTGGTTCAGCTTGGATGAATATGATGAATGAAATGGCTCCAAAAAAAAAAAACACTTTTCCCTTAATGGATATTTTAATAAAAAAATCTTACATATTGTGCCTTTAATAATAGACATAATGAGTGCTATTATTGTTGCTACTATAGTTTTCACTGAAGTGCAACCTGTACATTTTAACATCTCAAAAAATGTTTTAGGGTTTCATGACCCTTTAAAAAATGTTTTTGACCCTCTAACATTAACATTCTCTATTCTTTTTCTATTCTATCTACTTGTTTTCTTTTTATTTATTATAAAATTGACCCTCTAACACTAGTGTTCTCTATTCTATCTAGTTGTTGTTTTTTATGTATTAAAAAAACGACCCTCTAACACTAGCATTCTCTATTTGGTTGATTCTATCTACTTAAGAATAAATATATAAATAAAACCTTGCTACGTGTACTGCGTTAGACTAACCAAGACTTGTCATAACATTTAGTATATATTATTGTTCTTTTGTTGGTTTTGATTGCTTCTATTGTCCTCATTTGTAAGTCGCTTTGGACTGTGACCCGTGACCATTCCCCATCAAGGCAATCTCCATTTCTTTTATGGCCCGGTATTCTGTAACATTTTAGTCCAAAGATGACGAGGAGAAGTGAACAAGATTAAATCTAAGTCTATTTTATTAAAGAAAGCTCAGGTAATCCAATAGATAGAAACCACAACGTGACCACGTGCACTACACACAAACAAAACCAGACATAGATCAGAAGGAAACGGGGAACTTAAATACACAATGATAATGAACTCAAAGTCTAATAAGTGTGGTCATTAAATGAATAACAGGTAATTAAGAGAAACAAACTAAAAGTTCATGAAAACACAGGATGAAAGTGACACCTGATTTTACCGATATGCATAAAACAGATTTTGTTGATGAACTGTCATTTGCTTTTGAACGTCTAGTGAAACTTTCAATGTCACAAAATAATACTTAAAACAACTATTTAATATGTTAATAAAGGGGTGATTTTTGTTCAGACTGTATTATTTGGTGTGTTAGATGAGGGATGGATCTAACAGACCTAATAACTCCATCTATAATCAAACACCAACATCAAATAATAGACAATAATGTTAGTGTACTGTATGTTTATATGCTCTGTGAACATGATAGCTTTAAAGTGATTCGCTCTGAAAGTGATTGGACTTATTTTGGTGTACTACTCTCTTTGAGTTAGTGATTATTAAACTACAGATTTCGCCCTGCATTTGAAGAGTTTTGTTGTTTAGAGCAATCACACCCTTTACTAGTCTCCATCAACTAGAAACTACAGAACGCGGTAAGTGACAAGCCACAGTATTTCAATTCACATGTCATAGAAAAAAAATTCAATTTCAATTCATATGTCATCATTTCAGTTCATATGTCATGAAGCCAGGAGCAAGTAGTCCGTTGTAAATGTAATTTAAAATATATTTTTATTGTCTTATCCTCTCAATAATGCTATCTTTAGAATATGAATGCAAATTATATAACCATAATTAAAATATCCCAATTGTGTGCATGTCAACATCTTGTAAAATCAATCTCTGTTCTGCCACGTTTTTATACTATTTTATAGACAGTTTTGTGCAAAGTGGATACCTTTTGAAACTCCTGATTTTCTTTTCAAACTAAATGACAAA